ACTCGCGAGCTGATGCAACAGCGTGCCCGGAAACGTCGCCCCGCCCCGCTCCGCCCTCGCGTACGCTACTTCCGACGGGCGCCCCGCGCTCACCACGGCAACGGGGAGCCCCGCCCCCTGCGCCCACAGCGTTTTCCCGCCAAGCGGGCGGACGTGGGCTGGCGTCGCGCGGCCGGGATCTCCTCAAGGGCGGCCGTTGCGCGGCAGGGGCTCAGCAGAGCCGGGCGGCCGCGACACCCCAGAGAGAAGGGTGGGACCCAGCAGCCTCTCTCGTCTGAGGGTAGAAGTTGAGAGTCAACTCGCTGCTTTCGGTTCAACCAGGCTTTTATTGTCGTGCTCAGAACATACTCATACAAAACAGAGTCACTTCAGAAACTAAAGCAATCCTCTCAAAAACAGCAGCAGCCGCCTCTTCGTTCCCAAAGAGCATGGCCCTGCCTCACACAAAGGGAAGCACAAGCTGGGACTCCTCCCTCTCGAGCTGGCATCTGACACTCGAGTTTAATATCATACAACTCAAAAGACTTTAGTGAACATCACAGCCGGAGTCCGTATTAACACCAATGGTGTTAAATCACTTCCAGCTCTCCACAAGAAGGTGAGGAGGATTAAGCCCAAGCCATCACTTCTAGCAGTTAGACATCCTCTCTTACAGAAGTTTGTAGACATATGTACACAGGAACATTTTTGAATTTCATCATAAACATTATTCTGTAACTAATTTACTTATAAACTTTACTTATAAACTTATATACTTATAATGTTATTATTTTTTAAAGTGTTCAATACATTAGCATAAGCCTTGGTATCTATATAACTTAACTCATACAGTAACTTAATAATAGATTGTTTTTCTCCCAGTGTGTGTTTCCAGGTGAGAAGCATCTGATAAGATTGCTCTTCTATATCATTAGGAAACTCACTAATAATTTTAACAATATCATTTTCCTGCAGATGAGTTCTCATAAACTGCTCCCATTTTTTCTGTGGTACTTCCTTTATAAAGGCCGCAAAGCTATCTCTCAGTTCTGAAAGAAAACACACACAACACACATCAGCTTAGGTTTTAAAATACAGATTTTTTGTTTCATAGCTAACATACACACTTTCCCATTAATTTTCAGCCAATACATGCACAAACCAAACAGCAGCAGCAAGGCCAGGTTTGACACCTAAGCAACAGCAGGACAAATAGGTTTCCTACTGAGTGATCTTGAAAGAAGCTAAAAAGGTGCCAGTCTACACACCTCAAAAGTCTCTTAAGATGAGACACCATTCAGTAAAGGGGGATTTGAGGAAGGTTTCATTGGCCTGCACATCTTCACTTAAGTTTAATAGGACTACTCAACAGAAGGCTTTAACCACGTCACTATGCTACCAGTATAGGTTTGCCACACCAAGAGCAGCAGGAGCCAAACCTGTCACTTGGACATCCAGCACATCAACTTGCTAGGTGCAGGTAGATGTACAGGGATTTGATGTAGTCTTCCACATGAGCAGACATCTGACAGAAGGATCTGTTCTGACTTACACACAAAAAATTTGTACCGTTCTTATTCTTAAAAGCACAACTGTACTATACTCCTGTGCAGAAAAGCCATGCTTTAATGTAGAAAAGTTTGCCACAGGGATTACAACTTCTCTCAAATGTAGTAATAATCCTTTTTCATCACATTTTACAATAAACTGAACTTACAGCTCTACGCAATATTCATTAGCCTCCCTACACTACTCCTTAAGTAGCCTGAAGTCAACAGGAAAAACACAAATTCCAAGTACTGCCAATTTATGGAATACTTACCTTTTTGGGAGAGATCTTTAACAATTATTTGATACTTTGGTTCTCGTACCTGTAATACAAAGTCAGACCATTACTCCAACATACCAGAGCACTGCACTAGCAGTTATTGCTCAGCTACTTGACAGCTTGCCTCCACAGCACACATGCCAATAAGGAGAAGGGGGCAATTACACAGCACAGCTGGAAGTATTCCAGTAAAGAAAACTGCATGCTGAAACAGCCATGCTACTAGCTCCAAAGTGAAGTAACACAGCAACACATTCGCTGCCATTACAAAAGAATAGCTTCTGTGTAAATATTCAACAGATAAATTAGAAAGGCAGAGCAGATTAAACGAGAGTCTGAAGCTTGCTTTCCCAAGATGTTATTTCCCATACTTTCTATTACATCTCTAAGGCAAAGCCTCCGCTTCCCTATCATTCTGCCTGAACACAGCATCTATCACTTAAAGAATAGTTAAGAATTCAACTGAAATTACAAATGTATCAGAGAAAATACAATGATAATTTGACACACACACTTACCGCACGTTTTGCTGGTATCCTACCACTTCGTAGGTTAAATGGGGCATTCTGATGAAAAGCAGGATTCCGCCCAGTTTTCACTGGTAGTGAAGACCTGGCGATCCTCAAGTACTTTCCCATGCAGTGCCTCCAGCCCCCACGGAGGATGGTGCCCCGCTCAGGAAGCACAACGTTGTTTTCCTCCAATGTATTTTTTACTTCCAAGTTAATGTTGGTTTGTGCTTGGTCTTCTGGGCTCTCACCAGAGTTCTCACCCTCTGGGTTGGCTGCAGGCACCTCCACTTCTGGCAAAATGAGGCCTTCGGTACTGCCCTCAGGCTCCTGCAGAGAATAAGAACATATTTTAAGAGATGCTTCATAGGCATGCCTTCAAGGACAGTCCAAAAGAAGAAAACAGAATACTTGATTTCATCAGATGTCAGAGCAGTAATAGGAGAATGGTTAATTTAGCAAAGTTACAAACATTCAAAAGTTACAGCCTTTATAGACTTGGACTTCAAATGGTTTCAGAGCCTAAACTCTCCACATTGCTGGCTGTTCTGCTCTTACTGGACTGCAGAGTAAGGCTCACAGGCTACCTCCAAGAAAACAGGAAAATTTTCCTAGTGCTTTCACTAACATGTATTGCTGCTTGCTCCTCTCTAGGTACAGAAGGTATGCACCCCTCCTGTGACAAGAGGACATTAAATTGCCTTGCCACACCTGAGCTGAATTAACAGCACAGGGGCCTCCAACCTATGCTTTCAGAGCTTTTGTCGAGCTGATAACAGCCTATCAGCTCCACACAAGCACACCAATGTGGACTTTTTTTGGCTGAGTTAGTTTTTCTCACAGGTTCACAAACTGAAACCAGTAAGCACCGGTGTTCATTGCATAACTTTTGTGAGGGGCCAAAGAGGTAAGCAAGTGAGGAGGGCTGTAGCATTTTTAGTATTGCCAGTACTTTAAACAAGCATATGATTTCAACACATCAAGAACAGTGCAAAGCAGATGAGTATCTATCTAGCATATCAGCTAGTGCTACAACTGGAAAGCTTTAGGAAGCTGGTTGTTTTTTTTAAAGGTGTAAAATAAGGGCAAGGAGTGACTGTTGCTCCAATGAGACTTGTGTTTTTTAAGGTACAGTTCTCCCACGAGCACAAGCCAGTGTGATTTCTGTTTGCACAAGGTCAGTGATCCATGTGTGACAGCACCATATGACCAACATGCGTAAGCAGGGATGTGCAGGGAGCCACTCCACACATCACACATTAGTTGTGTATCACCCTCATTGAATCCACTTTCCATTTAAGGGTGCAAATGAGTTAAACAAGTTGGTCCTATTTATACAGAATAGTTCTTAAATAGGTGACCGAAGGTACACAGCATGACTGACTAATACCTGCTGCTCTATTTGGGAATGAAATAAATTATCAGCAGTATTTTTTTTTTTACAGCAGTATAAATTCACTGGTACTTTGGAAAGGACAGTCTGTTGGTGTCAAAACGCCTGGTCTCAGGACTGCATCAGTGTAACTTTCCTTAAATAAGACTCTTGTTACAGTAGCAAGGACACTCCAAGCATGAAGGCATTGCAACTCAAGTCTGTGACAACTCTTACATCAGAGCTAAGTGTCACCATGCACCAATTCACAATTGCATTATTCTACTACCATTTTATTCAAATTAAGGAGATTATATTTGCCTATTCTTATGCTACAGCATTTTGACCAGGTTGTCTGTCATGTTTCTTCATCAGCTTCTATGAATACATGAAGTGCTCTGAATCCGGTCAGGGTGTGAGGGGAGACACAACTCAATAAAAACCCATGGGTGATTCACATATTTGAACCACTTACAGACCTTAAAAAAAGAGAAGAATTTAAGGTGATGTTTAACAGCTCTTTCAATGCTGTTTCTTCAGTCTTCAATATTTGTTACAAAATTAAGATGCATTTAGTTACTTGAAATATGTAACTAGTAAGACCAGACAAGAGCTCACACATCAGGCAAGCAGTGCATACCTTGGGAGGGGGACAAGAAAGGCAGCAGGGAGCAGCAGCTGCTGTATACACGCTATGAGGAGTCTGGATGCTTTTCTTAGATGCCTATCAAGACAAACATTTGTTTTACAGCTTGGTGTTACATAGCAGTAACAATACTTGTAAAGACTGAGCTCGTTTTTGCCTTACCATGTTGTTAAGAGCGTAGCTTCTAAACAGAGAAGTTAAAGCTAGTCTTGTCTTTATCTTGCAAAATGCTAGATAGAAAACTTTTTGGACTGAAACAGTAAGATTCTGAAATAGTGTTTGACTACAGGAGGCCAGAGTGAACCTAGCTACAAGTGGAATGTATGCCAGCTGCCAGCCTTCACCTGGTAAACCCTTTTCAGGGGTGTACTTCTGAACTGGTGTGCTCTGAGCCCTGAACCTGTGTCTTATGGGACTGCCGGGTCTTGGTCTGCAACTTGAGTCGCAAGCCCAAAGGCAGGAAGACTTGGTCACTCTGCTGGATCAATAGAAGTCAGTCTTCCAAACAAATGATGTTGTTGCCAAAATGCAAGAAAAGCTAGAACACCACCACGCAGGGAAGCGTGAGCTGGCACTGCCTGGGGAATACACACATGAAGTGGCAAAGGACTAATTGGATCACAGCATCATTTAGAGACAGTTTGAAGTGAAAGCTTGCACTTGGCCTAATTTTTTTCCCCACTTCCAAAACATCCTTGCCACAGGCTCTGGAATGTTTCCAAGAGAAGTACTGGAAAGGCCAACTGCGGCAGACACACGCAGCTAATGAATGCACCAGGCCCTTGCTACCACCTGGCCCTGCATGAATCGCAACTTATTGTGCCACAGGATCACATCCTACCAGAGGTCTACAGCAAGACAAAAATTGAGAGCCGTGTATCAGGTACAATGAAGCAATGCACAATTAAGCTGCACAAATCTGAAATTAAACTCTTGATCCATCACGTACTTACCAGACCTTTCTCTGCATGTTTATCAGCTGAAGCAGCTGGAAAACAAGATAAATGTCTAAGAAACTTTTAGGAATTGCAGCAACTTAAACATAGCTGAATTCACACAAGACTTATATGTAGTAAACACATTTGTAATACAAACCAAAGCTCTAACACAAGCCATTTAGTTTCCTTGACCTGCCATAGGTTTCATGAGAGTACTACCAACAGTACAAACACTGTGTCTTCATACAGGGGATGAAGTGTCCCACTTAATACAACACAGACTGCAAGATGCAGTTTGACTTTTAAGCCACCCTTTCAGTGTCCCTTCCCCTGGCTTATGCTTCTTAGCATTTTTGTGGGCTATTGCAATACAAAAGAGAAGGCAGAAATTGTCTTTACTGTAATAACATTCACATCCTACTGATTGTAACTTTGTTCAACTCATAATTCAGAATAAATGTCAACATTTTTCTAACTAAACTAGTTGCAAAAACTCTTTTAATATGCAGAAGTGAAAGAAAGCTCTCTCAGAAAAACATCTCCATTCCCACTAAAAAATAAAGTAATTCACACAGTATTTATCTATGTAACATTCATGTGAAAAGGCTCAGATGATGCAAGGGCAAGAATTTGAAGGGAAAAAAAGCCAACAATCCATGGCCAAACACAGTGGATGAAAGTAGTTAATGATCTAGTTAGTTGCTACTTCTCGCCCCGTGCATCTGAGCTCACAGATTTTTCTCACGCTTTGCCAATACAATGCAAGTAGATAGGAGAAGTCCTTTTAAGGCATCTGTCAATAAAGTAAGAAAGCTCACAGTTCAAAAGTTAAGGTATTTTATTTAGCAAACATAACTGGTCTCCATTATATAGGAGTTGCTTAATTGCATCACGTACTAAATGAGCTAGAGCTTAAACAGGTCCCTTAAAAGGTAACAAAAAAACCCAGGGATAACCTTAGTGCATGCTTTGCCTAGTTCTGGAAAGTTTATGGAGAGTAATCAAGTAGTTACCTTTAGTACTCTTCAGCTTTCTAATTCCAAAGAAAAACACACAAGAGAGGAAAATAATCACAATGCAAAGAATCCAAACAAATTCTGTTCTTCCTGTGAAGGAAAGAGAGATGAAGTTAGTACTGAAGGAGTCCCCAAACAAGATACTCCAAAGCACAAGTCTTCCTCACTGTCCTAGATGACAGCCTAAGCTCAGCACTGGCACAACAACCCAGCCAGCTCATCCTGGAGACAGAGCTGGGACTCTCAGCTGACCCGAACGCGAGCAGGGGATTCTGCACAGGAGTTGCAATACAACTTCCATAAAGCTTTGTGAAGAGACATTTAAGAAAAGGGGAACACAAGTACACAAAAGATGACAGTGAGCTTCAGGTGCTTCACATTGGTATCCTCAGCTCCTTTCTCTAGTCTGGCAGAAGCTGTCTGCCAGCAGAAGAGAAAGCCACTCCATATGCAGCTTTACAGATACAGAAAATGTGAAAGAAATCTGCACTATCCATAACCTTCTACACTGTCACTGCTGGAAATTTGAAAGCCCTGGAAACACATAACTCTTCACCAAGTGAAATTTAAGATGGTTTGTCATTCCAACCCCTTCGAGAACTTGTCTTCAGCAAGTAATTCCCAGACCAAAACACAGCAGCTCTTCAACATGTTACAGTAGTTCAAAGCACTGTTTTACAGACTGCTCTGGTGTTATCAGCCTGAAGCCACTGACCCAACAGACAAAGCTGAACAGTATTTGTGTACCAGACCTTGATCAGATGAGCCACATCCTAGGTCCGCAGTAGCATTGCAATTCTGCACAATTTCTTGCCCTTCCGGACACCTGAAGCGGATGGCAACACAGGATTGTATCAGATTTCCAGAGCAATAAGCAGCTTCACCCAGGCCTGATTTTTTTCAGGCAGAGCTTAAGGCATGAACAGAACGTGCATAAACAGATAACTCTGCTAGAAGTGCACATTTACACAACCCAAGATAATAGTGTAAGATTAAATAGAAGCATAGCAGACAAAGCTCATGTGTGTTAGCCTCCGAGTGGCAGGGGAAAAAAATCCATAAAGCAGATGCATTATTCATGCACAGGTTCCTTCAACAGGTAGTTTTGCCTCTCAAAATTTTGTACTGGCTGCTACAAAGCTCATTCAAGTGTGTATGTGGGGAAATACTAATCTGAAGACACAAAAGTATAAAGTTACAGCCATAAGAACAATACCAAAATCCTTATCTTTCTAGGTCTCAACCTCACGTATTTTGGCACCTAACATTTAAATGCATGAATAATGCCATTTGACTTCAGGGCAACTATTTACAGCCTAATAACATGTGTTAGGTATTGGCACAGATTTGGCCACAGCTCCAGTGTTCCCTAGAAAGAAAGGGGTCACTTATATTCATTATCAAACTTACGCTGTTCTGCATCTCTGACATATTTCACAGCCCTCAGGAGGGCAGAAATACCCTTGCTTGCATTGGCATTCAGTATCATGCATCAGAGCACAGGGTCTCAAAGTTATCTGATCTGAAAATAAAATATAAGTTACAAAGTAAATATAAAAATAATGAGTCTCTACAAGTGTGCAAAAATTATACTTGGGCCAAAAGGCAATTTATTTATAAGTTCAATATTCTCAATGCCTGGAGGTAGAAAACACCAGAGAATCAGGCTTTCCACATTACAAAAGGGGAAAGGTGTTAGGGTTTGATAAAAATTGCACTTGGTACCCTCTTTGCACTGTGTGCACGGCAAGCATTCTTCCAAGCTGTTCTCATGACCGGTATAACCCTCTCCTTCAGTGCAAGGGAGACATTCTCCTCTCAAATGCGGAGCACTGCAGTGCTTTGCAACATAAGTACCTGTGGAAGAGGAGAACCAGCAGCAGCCTCAAGGGATCATTTCACAGGCAGAGGACTAGAACAGGATGTTAAAACAAAGCCATTTTTGGTGGAAGTTCAACCCTTCCTCACCAGCGACATGTCACATGAACCAGCATCAGAGCACGGTCAGGAGGCACGTTTGCAGCCTGCCTCTCAGAGAGAGCGGTGGCATCCAGCCAGGCCTCTGCTGGGATGCACCAGGGATGAGCACCGCAGCATCTTGGAGTCATCCATGTGGCCAGCACCATCTCCTCTGAAGGGGCATGGTGGGCACAGGGGAAAATCGCTAATAACAAACTCTATTCTCCTTCCTCTGATTTATCTTTAAATACGTCTGACCGCCCTCCAACACTACCTAAGGGCAGGGTGCTTCTTGACACAATGCTTGTTAACTCTGCACACACTGAGCAAGAAGGGAAGAGCAAAGGAAAGCCAGAGTTTTACCTATAGATACAGATATAGCAGAATTTCCCTAGGCCTGTTTTTTCTGCTATCTGAAGGTTGGTATTTTTTTTCCCCCGCTACCCAACTTTGAACACCTTATCCTCAACAGCAGGCAGAGGTTTCCCAGCTTGCTACCAAGGCATCTCTCCCAGCCATCACCCATTATGCAAGGGCTCCCGCTCCAAAGTCAAACCCAGCCTTAATAGCATCCAGAAGTCACCACAGCTCCAACTGGGCTTACACTTTCACCAAATACAGTGTAAAAAACAGTAGTGACAGAGTGATCTCCACGGGGAAAACACAGCCACATTCAGCTCTAACTGCCTGCAGCCTTACCTGGTGGACAAAGGACACAGCAGTGACCTCTGTGCAGGTACTCTCCCTCCTCGCCTCTGTGCAGGTATTCTCCCTCCCCGCAGTGCTCTGCTCCAGCTCCAGGCATTATCAGCAATGTAACCTACAGCAGAGACAAACAGGTGTTTTTGTGATTCATCCTTCCATGACATGATAACCATCTTGGGGAGATGTTCCTGTAAAGACTTGAAAACACATTCAGAAGTTCATGGGAAGCCACAAAAGAAACCCAAACTAATTTCTGCTAAATGTGCTGCTCACAGCGGTAATTATAAATCACAAAGCTGGGGTTAGAGCAGCACCTTGCAGCGGCTGATGGATTTTAGGCAACTGTTGCCCCAGATCCCCACCTCCATTTTAAACTTCTGTTTTCTTTGGACTAATTCACTGCAATTGGAACTTCAGAGCCCGAGGCTTCTGCCTTGTGCGAGGGATGTGTTTCTCCCTCCTTTCATCTTTTAATTCAGGAGGGTCAGCGTTAGTTTGCCTCTAGCAAAACGGAGGAAACGCCCAAGACCTCATTCAACATTTCTCGCTGGCTCTGTAATCTTAAGCAGAAGGCAAATAGTTGAGTCATTAACCAAAAACCAGCTTACTGCAGACACAGAAGCATCAGGAACTCTTTTTTTTTTCCCCCAAGAAACTTGCAGGATGCACACCCCTCGGCAAGCCTCCTGCGGAGCGGGGCCGGGCAGCGAGGATCCGCTGCCAGCCTCCCAGCGCCGGGCAGCCGCTTGACAAGCAACCCAGGTGCCGCGGGTTTGGGGCCGCCGAGGCACATCCCTCGATTCCCACACACACGCCAGAGAAAGCGGTAGAACAGAGGCGAGGAAGGGGAATTGCAATCAGCGGCCAATTTAAAGCTAAAACCGAGAGTCCCCGACTCCCATAGTTTTCTTCTTTCAACTCACCCTCGAGGCACTGAAAGTTTTCCCCATAGTGGCCCAGCTGAGAGTCACCAACTTCACGATTAGATAACGCGAGGACTACCG